CGAAGAGGTGCTAGCCTGAGATTAAGACGTTTCGGTTCACGAAGTTCCATGTGTCTCCCAGCGTCACCGCTACATTACCTTAGTACCGATTTGGCATGAATTATCATTATTTAACAAAAAAAAAAGAATTTCAGGAGGGAACGCAAGAGTTAAAGTGCAGTTGTCAGTATAGCTGTGCTTTTGAGCAGATCCAAAGAACCCTCAAGTTGCAAAGCAATTTCACATTTTTTTCGAATTTTCCGATTTTTTATCAATGGGGCATAGTTACAGAATGTATTGCCTTTTCTCTTGATTTGTTTTTAAACCGCGAAGGGCCGTACGAAACATATCGTGCTGTCTTGCGTTTTCAAAGTGGGATAGTGCATTTTGCAAAGACCTGTGAGTTTTAAAATGGATTTTACGTGGAATAGATTTGTTATAGGTTGGGGCGAGAACGACCGAGGAGTTTCGTTCACGTTTGGCCCTGAAGTTGTGGCGAAGTTTTTGCACAAGCATGACTTGGATCTCATATGCCGTGCCCACCAGGTTGTCGAGGATGGCTATGAATTCTTTGCCAAACGGCAGCTGGTAACACTGTTCTCGGCGCCAAACTATTGTGGCGAGTTCGACAATGCCGGATCAATGATGACTGTGGACGAGACGCTGATGTGCTCTTTCCAGGTTTCTTTTTGCATTTCTTTCATTTTTGATGCACTTATCACCGTATAAATTCTTTTAATAACATATTAAAACATGAGTAATTGCCCCTCTACCAGCCCCATCCTCCCTCGCGCATTGATTATCAGGCGAAAATATTCAGAAGTAGTCCGGACAGTAGTACGTACGAGAAGTAATAACTTGTTGGCAACGCTTTTTGATGGCTGCAGTTCCCGGAAATTGATTATGAGCAGGCTGATGTCAGTCTCGACTCCCTGGTTGGTGGCATCACTACCAGTTTACTCTATTGGAACGAATGTTTCGTAGAGGGATTAGTTGTCCCACTGGCGGGATTTTGAATTCACAAACAGCGTTAGATGCGCATCATTTTCCTTGCTGTAGCA